AATTGAAATTCATGAAAAATATATTAATAAGCAATTAATACTTATTGATAGGGTTTTAAGAATAATGGAAGTAAAACGAATTCTGTCAAACAATAAAGGGAAATTATGTCCACCATATAAATTCCATACATTCCTGTAATATCGGAAGAATTAAGGAGAATAGATAGCAAAGGATGCCAATTTTGGACCCAATACGTCCATCTTAGAAAAGTGTAGTATCCTACGTTTGTTGCGCTGATTACAAATATGACTTCCATTTTGCTGTAAATTGAGCCGTTTTAGAAATAGAGAGCAAAAACAGATCGTGTACACTATGATAGAAGAACGACTCCCGCATGGGCAATACCAAGAAACAATAAGACTACCCGCCGAAGATTGATCGCTAATGCCAGTTTTGCAAGTGTTCTGAGTATTCTGATGAAGATAACTAATAAAAAAATTCGAGATGTTCATTAGAGATTAAATGATATTTTAAACTTTAGAGTACCCTGAGCGACAACCATCTATAGCAAAAATACTTTCTTCAAATATTTGAAAATTTTATGATGAGTAGAGCCAAACCGATATCAGATTCGGTTTTGAAATATTTGAAAAATTCATGATGAATAGAGCCAAACTGAGATCAGATTCGGTTTTGCGGACTAAAATACATGGAAGGACCATAGTTTAGTCCGTTACTCATGACTTTTTTCATTTGTGGGTCAGTGTTATTTTTGAACTTCAGCAGCTTTGAAAACCAATATCTTAGAAACCGCTTTTGGGGGTAATGGCTATTGACTTTTTTCTTTGCTAGACCAAGGACTACAACTTTATACACTTTTCAAACTTGGATGTTGTGGCCCCAAAGTTCCATAAGACTTTGGCGCCCTTCTTTGACATTTGAAGAGTTTTCCAGACAGTTAAGACTTTACGAATGCAATAAACATTATGTCGAAGCAACCTCTCGGTCTGTAAGCATTAGAATAGAAGAACACAAAGACTACGTTAAAGAAAAATGAGAATACGAGAAATAAAAATTTGTAATTTCGCTTGAGAAAACGTTAAAATCCAGGAATCTTTGAGAATGGTAAGACGATCTATGGCAAAACATATGAAAAAGTGTATTGAGATGATAAATACGTATTTAACGATCTATTTAAAAAATGTCTATAATTATTGAGGAAATGTACACAGCACATTTGATATCTACGCTGCTGGTTTAAATTAAGGCTTGTATTTCCACTAAGAATATAATTTTCCTATGTATCGTGCACACAAAATTCTGTTCGAATATTTTCATTTATCTAAAAGTATATATTTAAAGATATAACACTTTTTTAATTTCAACACTTTAATCTTAAAGATGAGAACTTCTAGAGCAAATGTTTATAGTAGAAAATATTGTTAAATTTCTACGAAAAAAGTACTTCTTTTGTGTGAAGACATTTTATTACCGCTTTACAAAGAAATTATAAACATTTTTATATAATAGTCCTTGAATGTTTATAAAACAAGAAGACTGATAAAAGCCAAAGTTACTCAAAATATTTGGTAAATTTTTTAAAGAATCAGCTTCCGGCTTGGACGGAAATGACCTAATTTTAGAAGAAAATGAAAATGTTTGTAAATATCCTTTTTTGTAATAACTTTTCACTCAAATGAAATTTTGCTCTTACAAAATTTAGAGAGTGCAATTTAAGAAAGTTTAAAACATATTTAAGAGTCGCTTCTATGCTATTCGTGCTATAAAAAATACTCTAAACAAATTTCTACTTAAAATCAATGATAATTTAATAGATTCTAGTGAAATATTCGGTAAATTAAAAAAAGTAGAATTGCTTATACTGCACAAAACATGTATAAAATCAAGACCGGGAAAAACAGAACGTTGTAACAACCCAACCGATACATGAGTATTATAACAATATATCTACATATAATCAACATGTATTTAATAATTACAATGAATTTATGCTATTAAGATTTCCTAGAGTGCTCTCTAAAAATTACAAAACAAACTTCTATATACATTAATAGAGTTATTTTTTTGTGGACGACCGTTCTGTTATGTTCACACTCACAACCTAAGTAAGTAAACACACGAACAGTTTAGCACCAAAAAATTAAAAGGGACGCAGCGTCTGGCCACTGGCTAAAGTTGTTTTTTTTTTAATATTTACACTGAACGCGACGGTTCTGTCACTACTTTAGGTCGTAGGCTTCATAGGGGTTTTTGTAAGTATATAGTAGAGTGAAAATTAGGGTATATTTGAGTTTTTTGAGCACTGTGTGAAATTTCCTAGAGATTTTTAATTTGTGGTTAAAAATTCATTAATATAACGAATACAAATAGCAAATTTCGTTTTCTAAAAGATCAGAAAAAACAACAGGACATTCGACATATTACAAATATGAATATGAAGAATTTTCAAATGTGTCTTAAAATTTTGTAAAACCCAGCTTAATGGAACACACCTAAATTCAAAATTGTGCGAAACGCAAATTACTCCTTTTCAATCTACGGTGTGTACAAATTTGAAATAATATCGTATGTTGGCAAAATTTGGAAAACTATTACACCAATCATATTGAAAACGTCAACAAACGTATTTTACAGAATATCTCGTCAGTGAAGCCTCCGATCCAAAAATGACCTTAATGAAAGCTGATCAGTTCATTGGGGGAAAGCTGACCTTGAACATGACCTTAGCCGTGACCTTAAGGGTCAATTGAAGGTCAACTTCATAATTTTAAATGGATATTTCTTACCCTGAGACTGGGATTTGACAGAAAATTTTACATCCGGATACTCAAGGTACTCCATCATGACCTTAAATGTAACTTTGACCTTGACCTTCAAGGTCATTTGAATGTCGACTTCAGAAATTGACCTTGATGACCTCTACAAATGTTTTTAAGGATGTTTGGGGCCATGGATCGATATCTTGGAATTTAATATTGAAGGTCATTTGAAGGTAGAATTTGTTTCTTTTTATATCAGTACCTGTATTTCTAAAGCTGGATCCTGGAAAAGCGGTAAATTCTACACCCGAGTAAGTTGCAAAGTAATAACAGGTCAAATTAAAAGTTCATTTGAAGGTCAAAGCGAGAATTAACTAGAATAGCAACGAAATGACCTAGTAATTCAATGGTCCACAAATAGTGGTGCGATATTTACTTGATAAAAATCCCATCTATTCTGGGGGAAAACATCTTATTCCGAGGTTGCTTAGGGGTGACGATTCACTTGAACTGTGATCTTGAACTTAACCGCAAGGTCAAAATTGATATCACATTCGGATGTACAATTTTCTGCCGAATCCATTCGCATAGTAAAAAATAGAGGGCCCTATTTAAAATTATGAAATTCACCTTCAATTAACCTTCAAGATCAGCAACCTCTTTCCCCCAATGAACTGAACATTTTTCATATAGGTCATTTTTTAATCGGAGGTCTCGTTTCACTGAAAAGGAACACGTGGTATATTCCCACCATTTTTGTTTTTGTCCTAATGTATTCCATATTGGTAAGATAGAGCCCTCTTCGACATATTTAATGAAATATCTTGGAAGATATTTAAAAAAGTTCAGTATTAGCTAAACAAAGCTTTTTTATAATAGGAAAAAAAGATTAGAAAAATATATTACCAATCATAGAAAAATTAACCACAAATTTAAAATCAAATAAAAATATCACAAAATATACAGCATTGAAAATTTTTAACAATTTCAATATTTGTCAAATTCTTCAAACACAGTATATTATGATCTGCAAGATATATAAAATGGGTTAAGCATTGGAATTCTGTTTATGATAGAGACAAAAAACACTTGTTCCAACACTTTTTTAGTTATAACAACAAGAAAATACATTTGAGAGAAATTTCGTCTAACTCTTCACTAAAAAAAATATTTCGGAAAAACCATGTAAAACACTCCTTTGTTTCTAATGGAACAGAGCCAACAAAACAAAGTAATATTATTTGAAACTGTATTGAAATGACGTTAAAGTAAAGCCCTAATAAATTAAATTTGCTGTGTAGTTTCTCTCAGTAGATTTTTATCTGCACCTTATCTAAGTGCATTTCGAAAGGCTCATTTCAATCTCAGCTTAGTTAATTTAATTTAAAAACAAGGTAAGTCAATTCAGTTTCAGAAACTTTAATAATAATCAACTCTAATTTCTAAAATGTAAGTTTTAGTTCACAAAACGTCAGAAAATATAATTTGTATTTCAGAAAATATCAAACATATATCACAAAAAATATGAATTTTTTCTCTTGGTAGGTGCACTAGAAGACATTCTATTGATTTTTTATGTTCTCACATTTAAAGCCCCTGTCTATCAAATTTTCGTCAAATGATAAAACTCACCAATATTGTTAATGCTTCTATATTTTCTGATTAAATAAAAAGTTGGTAGAAAACAAAAGTATTATTCCAAAACTAAACTATTAGCTTTTGGGATCATTCTTCGAGCTGCCATTTATTATTTTACAAATTTTACCAAATTTTGAGGTCATTAAATTATTTTCCTCCACAAATTTGACGAAAATTTGATAGATACCTTTTTTAATTTGATTTTACTTACCGAAACAACATACATTCTATAAAAATTAGTGGTGCAGTTTAATATTTGCCGTTCAGAAGACACACAATTTTAAATAATTATTTCCTTTTTTTTACACAAAAAAAATGCAAAAATTTTTACCAGTAATATAATTAATTATTACTGATTTTATAAATTAATATATTTCCGAACGAATATCCTACTGTATCATAACTGAAAAGAGTGATGAATGGCCAACATCTTTTTGTCTCTATGGTTAGTGTAACCCCAATACTGCAACCCAAAATACACGCATGCATCGACCAAAGTACCACACCCTCATCGTTTAAAATTAGCAACACCGTATATATTCCTTTACTCTAAAGTTCTGTCAACACCTCCCACAAGCCTCGACCTTCCCCTACACTGTTAAGATGAGCATGGAGTCGATAAACACTTATCTGGGATGTAATCATCTGGTCGCTGCCAGGGCCAGCAGGCTGAGCGACGCCAGCAGCGCCATCTGGTGGGGGACTCCCGCGCGGCTGGTCTGCATCGCCGCAGGGTGTTCTCCTGAAACAAATTAGACGATTTACTCGGAGGGTAATGAATTTGTTTGAAGGAAGAAAATCACATACGGATGCCGCTAACAATTGATTTTGATTTTGTGTTTAGGAAAAAAACAGAGAGAAATAAGAGGTCATTTTAGATGCTAATACTGCTTAATCATAAATAGAATGTTTATTAATATAGATTTGTATATTTTCAAATAGTTTATTTCAAATTTTCGAGAAAGTTATACAGTTTTAGATTTAATTCTGCTTGACAGTATAAACCATATTTCCCTTCTGTTTTGAACTAAAATATGCAGTGTTAATATTTAGAATAGAAATCGTAAATATATTACGTCCTGTATAATATATGCAAAAACTCTTTGACACCATTGTTTACATTATTACGTCATCGTGACATTTTTTTAAATCCAGTAGTTTCATTAAATCTAAGTAGGAAAAACATTCCTGAAAATGGCAATATACAAATCATGACGTTAAAGTCGATAGTTTTCAGGATAAAAGGCTTCGATTCAATATTCAGTTCCTCGATTTTATTCATCTCCGTAGCCATGCATGTTGACAGTTCTGGAAATTATTCTAAAGTAGTTATCAAATTTAGATATTCTTTAACTTTTTGGTGATATTGATATCTTGATTCTGAGAGGTTGTGACGAAAAAAAAGACCACTTGTATGCAACATTTTCAGAACTAGATATCCGAATGAACAACCACGCATTAGAAAATCAACAGCGAATAAGATTATAAATAAATGTATCCAGTTTGGGCATATTCGAGATCAGTACCGAGGTTGGTCAGCAATTACAGTGGATGGTGCTTGATGCGCAAGAGAATCCACATGTTTCTAAGAAACAAATAGCATCTAATCATTAGGTTAGTCAAAGTTCTGTAGTAAACTATATGAAAAAAAGTAATAATAATAATGAATGGCATCGCTATAAGATTCAGCTAATTCAAGAATTAAATGATGATGCTCCTGATCACAGAATAGAATTTCGCTAAGAAATGATGAACCGTTGTAACAGAAATCCATGGTTCATTAACACTATTGCTTTTTCCGATGAATCTACATTTTGTTTACATGACACTGTTAACAGACATAACTATTGCTACTAGGCCCTTAATAATGCTCATTGTATGATGGAAGCACACATCCAGCTCCCTCAGAAAGTAAATGTATGGGCAGGAATTGTAGGAAACAATATTATTGATCCTATTTTCATTGATGGGAAATATTTACAAATGTTACGACAACAAATAATTCCGAAGTTGGCAGCATTATTCCCAGATAACAATGTTCCGAACATTCCCAATGAGCTTCTGTGGTATCAACAAGACGGAGCAACATTCCCAATGAGTTTCTATGGTATCAACAAGACGAAGGAACTTATTCCACAAATATTTCCTAATCGTTAGCTAGGCCGAAAAGTTTTTATCGAATGACCAGCTCGGTGCCCTGACCTTACACCCCTTGATTTCTTTTTGTGGGGTTATCTTGTGTACAATAATAAACCACAAGATATTGATGAGTTAAAAACAAGAATTCGAGATGAAATTAGAACTATACAGGCAGACGTCATCGGAAAAGTATTGCAAGAATTCCAACAGAGGCTTGCCTATTGTCAAGAGACAGAAGCATTATAGTTCGAGCACCTTATTTAATTAATTTTCATTGTTTATTGGCATTTTGTCGAAATAAAAAATATTTTTTTACTAATTTTTTTTGCTCTTTTTTCATTTTTCCAAACATTGAGGCGTTTCAAAACTATCAAGTTTGAGGTCATAGTGTTGCATATTGCTATTTTCAGGAATGTTTTTTCTATTTACATTTAATGAAAAAACTATATGTTCCATTTAAAAAAAATGTCACGATGACGTTACAGAGATTACCTAATAACGTCATAATCGAAACAATGATGTCAAAAGAAGCACAAATGAATGTAAAAATTAATGTGACCGAGCGTTTTTCTATATCTTATCCTCACAGTTAACGTCATAGCTGTACAGTATAGCATTTCAGTTAAATGAAATTATTAAAATTTGGGTGTGTAAGAAATTTCTCTAATATTTAACCTTTTACTTATTAGTAACTGTGTCCTGAAAAGTGTGTTTAGTAGTTCAATATTTAATTATTTGTGAAGTTTCCGAGTTCATATTCCTATATAAAATCGTCAACTTATTGTACGTCAAATACGTTTTGCGAGGTATTTGTTTACCTATTTGTCACAAATAATAAGTTTTCCAAAAACTTGAACTAAGGTATATTTAGTTTAATAAATACAAAGAGTAACATATTACCAATCTTTCTAACATCACAACCATTCACAAAGAATTGTTTTGTCCAAGACTAGATTACCTTATTCTCATCTATTTTGACTCACTGATACGAATCTGAAATCGGTTTTTACTGATCAGTTCATGGTTTATTTCTACCCTCAACAGTATGCAATGTAGTTACAATGAAGCAATTGTATTGCAATGCAATTTTTTGTCTACGGGATCAGGTTTTATTCATGTGTCCGTAAATAGCTATAAAAATAGTAACAGTACCGTTTTTTAGTCACCATGACACAAAAATATTGAAAATGTGTTTAATGAAATTATATGTGAACATATTCTGACATGACAAACAAAAAAATTATTAAGTTATTAGGTCATAATTTGTTTGTACTCTGTTGGATAAGCAAAGGAAAGCAGCTAGATCCATTTTGAAATAACTATGTTGAGGGAAACAACACAATTGAATTATAGCCAAAATATCTTATAAATTCTCTCTAGGATGTTAAAAAGATCATTCGTTAGCAGAATTACTAATCAGAAACCGGTCTGAAACTTATTAGATATTATCAGTATAAGTGAGAAAATAGATGAATAATTTAGCTACTTGGACATCTAGCGACATGATATCTTTATAGGTTATATCTAAATTCAATTCAATTTAACTCTTATTTTTTGTTTCATTGCAAAAAGAGAATTACTATTTCTTGTTTCCTTTTACAATGTACTTATCCTCTTGCATTGTATTCATATTTACATCTCATTGTCCTTGACCTTCTACTCTTTATTTGATATATATCTTAATAGAGACATTAACTTTGCTTTTCACAAAAACCTCTTAGAATTTTTGAGAGTTGATGTATACGAGAATGCAGGAAGTGCAACATCAAGTCCATCAAGCATTCCATTCTGCTGAAGGTTTAACACATATTTCTTTGTAGTCATTACTATTCTGGATACCTTAGACATTTTCAACAACTTGAAAGTTGAACCATACTGCCCCTTCTTTGACATTAATTATTATTGACGTAAAATCTTTCCAAATTTTTATAAGTTGTTGTCTATCAAAAATAGCTGTCTCCAATTCTAGATTGGTAATCTGCGGGAGATGTATTCTATAGTATTGGATCATGAAATCATGTTTAATATGAAATGGTGGAAGTAATTTTCAAGGTCAATCAGTGATTACGCATGGTTTATTTAATTATTTGTTTATATATTACTAATTGTTTGAAGTGAGGGATATTTTGTTTTGTTAACGAACGTAGAAAAAACAACAGATGTTTTATTATAAAAAAACAGCAATGTAACACGAATCAATATAAAACCATACGACTAATTGACACTTTGCTAGTCGCTTCAATACAGTACAATAAATCAATAAATCTACAATGACGCAGCTTCATTCATTAAAGGTGAGAATAAAACATTTTCCTTTAAAAAGAACTGAATAATCAAGCGAATAGAAAAAGACAGAGATAATTTCCCAAGTCACGCCTAATTAAGTTAGATTACAACTTGCTGGATCAAAAGCGAGGCGTTGTATTGTTCGCAGTTTCACCGTTGCTCTAGTTGGTATCTCCTTCACGAGCAATTTTACAAGAATCCAGAAGTTGTTCCGAACTTACGTAGAAGTTTTGTGTATGTGTTTTGATCAAAGCGCCGTTCTGAATATAAATACCGGCACTTGCTTCCCAAACACATCGATAAACGTATACACAAGGATACGTTCCCTATGCAAATATGTCGTGGGGCAAATCGTCTGCAAAGTAACATACAAATATCATTTCTGATTTCAAAGATTTGTCTCGATAGTTGAAGCCTTTACGGAAAACCTAGAGAGGTTATATCTTTATTGAATATTTGCAACGGTTAACTGGTAACGAATTTAAAGAAGTTATGTTTTTTTATTATCCTGTGATATTATATGACAGAGCGGGCTCATTCGCTTTTGAATTATGAATAAATAAAACGTGCCTCTAAATCCAATTAAGTGTTATCCATTCAATATTGTGTAAATCATTATTAGCAGCAGTATGTTTCAGTAATTCTTTTGGTATAAGGTTTTTAATATTTTAATATTGTATCTTCTTTATGAACAAAAACATCAATTAATATAAAATATAATAAAATTAGACACGAAATACATTGGTGGCTCATCCAATATGTTGTGTGTTTTTTTTGTAGCCAAACACTTCCCAGTAGCTTGTTGAAATATTTACAGTATATAATACCACAAGAGATCAAATACAGAGGAGCGTTTTCCTTGTTCAAATTTAAAAACACACTTTTTTATATAAACAATAAATATGATTGTATATAAGGTTACATAAAAATTTAATAGTATGGAATTTCCTTTACGCATCTACATTTCACGAAATTTGGATAGCAGTAATTTATGACGTGATTCTCTAGGATCTGGTATCCTCTATTGGTGATCTTCATGAAATGTTAATTCAGAAACCGTTTTTAAACAGACTTATGTGACAGTTATACATGGGTGCTTACTAGAACTTCTAAAACAGAAGTAGTCATTTGTTCTATATGTGATACATACGCAAAATTCTGGTCAAAGGTATATCTATATCCTTAAATTTAGTCTCTTCAAATGGATATAGTTGACAGTATAAATAAACAGAATAGGATCACGTTCTCTTTGGAATTTCATGATGTTGCAATTGTTCTTGGTATACCAATTCGCTATGGCCTTCACATTATTCTTGC